ATTCACTAGTATTTTGTAGAGGATTTTTGCATTTATAGTCATGAGAGATATTGCCCTGTAGTTTTGGGGTGTTTTTTAGGTTTTATTTATTTATTTTTAGAGAGAGGGGAAAGGAGGGACAAAGAGAAACATCAATGTGTGGTTGCCTCTCATACGCTCCCTACTGGGGACTTGGCCTGCAACCCAGGCATGTGCCCTGACTGAGAACTGAACCCATGACCCTTCGGTTTGAGGGCCAGCACTCAATCCACCGAGCCACACCAGACAGGGCTGTAGTCTTCTTTTCTTGTAATGTCTTCATCTGGTTTTGCTGGCTTCACAAACGAGTCAGGAAGTAGTCTCTCTCTTTCGATCTTCTGGAAGTGATTGTAAAGAATTACTATGAATTCTTCCTTACATGTTTGGTAAAATTCACCAGTGAACCCACTAGACCTGGTGCATTCTGTTTAGAGAAGTTATTGAATCGATTTTTTAATAGGCCTATTCAGATTGTCTATTTCTTTTTACATAAGTTTTGGCAGGTTGTGTGCTTTGAGGAATTGAATGATTTTGTCTAGGTTATCAAATTTGTGGGCATAGAGTTTTTCATAACATTCCTTTATTATCGTTTTAATGTTTATGGGTTCTACTTGTCTGTTGGTAAAATGGTATTTCCCCCTTTGGCTTCTTTCAAGATTTTTTTCTTTACCTTCAATTTTCTGAAGTTTGGGCATAATGTGCCCAGGTGTCGTTTTTTGTTTTGTTTTTTGTTTTAGCATTTATTCTGCCTGGGGTACTCTGAGCTTCCTGGATCTGTGGCTTGGTGGTTTATACTAATTAAGGGGACATTTCCAGTCATTATTTCTTCAGACAGCTCTGGCGCGTTCTGCCTTGCCTCTCCTCCTGTCTTCCCGTTACACACATGCGTCACCTTTTGTAGTCGTCCACTGTCCTTGGATATTCTGTTCAGGGCTTTTTGTTGTTGTTGTTTTGGTTTGTTTTTTGCCTTGTTTCCCTTTGCTTTTCTATTTTGGAAGTTTCTGTTGACATCTCTTCTGGCTCACTGATTGTTCTCTCAGCTGTGTCCAGCCTACTGAATGAGCCATCAAAAGCACTCTTCATTTTTGTTACAGTGTTTTGATCTCTAGCACTTATTTCTGATTCTTAGACTTGCTGTCTGTGTTTACATTTACCATGTGTTTTTGCATGCTGTCTACTTTCTTCATTAGAGCACTTAGCATATTTATCAAGATTGTTTTAAGTTCTGACCTGACAATTCCAACACCCTTACGTGTCTGGTTCCGATGCTGGCTGTCTCTTCAACCTGCATTGTCTTTTGGTGCGCTTGTAATTTTTTCTTGATAGCCAGCATGTGTTGGAAAAAAGGAACTTGAGTGACGTGGCAGTGAGCTGTGGGGCAGGGAAGCATTTTATAATCCTTTGATTAGGTCTCAGGATTGGTGGGCCTGTATCCTGGGCTGTGGCCTCCATGCGTGCTCCTCAGCCCCCTTAGGTGGGACCAGGAAGGCGAAGGGGCCAGGGTGGGCATTTCCCTCCGCCAGGGTTGTCAGGCTCCAGGGCAATGATTTTTCCTGAGGGCAGGCCTTGCGGAAAGACGGATGTCCTGCTATTCACAACGGCTACTTCCCCCAAGCACCCCACCTGAAGCAGGAGTGGATTTTTCTCCCATCTTCAGTGGGAGGACCTGGGGTGGCTCCCGGGGGCAACGTTCATGGAGGTGTGGGGCCCCCTGGGGCTTCGAACTCTCAGCCTTGTCCGCAGGGAGCCTCCAGCATTTGTCAGTCACAGCTCCGGTTTTCCTGCCCCAGCTCTGGTCCCCCAGGGCTTTCTGGTCGTGCGTTTCTGCTAATGGTAAGTTGTGATCCTCTGGGTTCATCTGTCTCCCTATGACCTCGTTTCTCTGAAGGACCAAAGAGCAGTCGTTGGTTTTCGGTTCGCTCAGCTTTTGTATGACTGTGAGGATGGAGCGCCCCTCCACAGCTCCTCACGTGCCAGAGCAAACAGGAACTGGAATGCCGCTCCAGTGTCCCTGTCATCGCCCCCAAAGGAGACACCCACTCCTGCCCTGTGGCAGCAGCTCATTTATCTTCTAGCCCCACAGAGGAAGGTGGAGAGCAGTCTGCCCCAGGGGGGTCCATACGGTCACCCCCACTGCAGTTAGAGACTAGCACTGATGATGCAGATGACGTTTTTGGGCCAAGGTCTGATGTGCAATGGTGGAGAATTATGGAGATGCTGGGATGGAGCAAATACATTTTATATGTGGAATGGATGTGAATTTGGTGGGAATAGAGCGCCGACTATCATAGGTGGAATTGTTTCCCCCCGAAATATATGTCTGAGTCCTAATTCTAAGAACCTGTAATTGTGAACTTACTTGGAAAAGGGGTCTCTCCAGATGCACTAAGGTTAAGGTTCTTGAGGTGAGCAGATCAGGAGGAACTATGTGGTAGTGAGGAGGAATCTGCAGTCAGTGGAGAGTGAGGGGCGGGGCATGTGGAGGCCCGCCCACGGCGATGTCCCCATTTGGGCAGTGTGGCGAGGCAGGCTGTGGGGAGCTGGCCACCTGAGGCCAGTCTGAGATGACAGGGAGGCAGATGTCTCTCTCGTAAGGTAAGATGTGACGTCTGCCCTCACGGCCGGCACACTCCAGCAATGTGCATGGGGGGGCCGCTGCTTTGGGTACGCCTCGGACTTTGGTCTGTGCTGAGGAGATCAGGACACCCCGTGCCTCAGGTGATCGCAGTCCCCCTACCCCCACCTAGGGCACCCACCTTTGTCAGGGCCACGTGCCCCGTGGACGAGACCCCAGACCCCTGGAAGGTAAGGCACTGTGGGTTCAGCAGGAAGCTCCTGCCCCTGGGAGGAACCAGGGCATTCTGGGAGTGGCCACGAATGGGCGGTCTGTTCCTGGGCACTCTGGCTCTGTCACGTGCACCCGGAGCACCCTGGCCTGTCTGGTGCACCTCATGGCCTGGGGCCCTTTTTCTCCTGGCCACACTGTCCTCCCTGCAGGCTCGCTTTCCTGAGCAGTCGGGACCTAGTGTGTGGACGGAGGACCGTCGCTGCCAGTCTCGAGTGTGGGCCCAGGGCGGGTGTGTGTGTCCGTCCCCTCGTCTGGAAGAGGAGTGGAGAGAGCTCCCTGCAGGGACACGCTGCGCATGGAAGCAGATGTGAGCTGGTTTCCAGAAGCAGCACCTACTGGGCACTGGCAGCCTGCCCTGCACTTGCCCTCCAATCGCCCCCATCCTCCTCTTTCCTGTCTTCACTTCCCAGCCTGTGCCTCAATGCCCTCGCCCCCCCAGTGGAACCGAACCGCCCTCCAGAGCATCACGTCCATTGGAAGGTGCGGCCCGAGGCCCGGGGACCTCACGAGGCTGTGCTTCCCTGGCTTGTCCTCACCCTGCGGTGTGGAAGCCCAGCCAACAGCTGCTTCCCCTTCCTCAGGACAACCACCTCGGGCAGTGGGGTGGCTGGAGAGTGCAGAGGAAGGGACCCCAGGGCAGCAGCCGGAGCTGCCCGGGCACACCCTGGCCACCCGAAAGGCGGGCTGGCCCGCTGGGCTTCTGCAGGCACACGACGGCCACCGGCCCTGCACTCACCCAGAGGTGTGCCCCTGCCCTATTGTTTGAGCCGGCCTGAGCAGAAGCGATTGCTGGGGGAACTGAGTAGCTTGCCCCTCAGCTCACACTCCCCCACCCCCAGAATGAGGGGAAGGGGCAGAGGTGGGGATACTGGACGGTGAGTGAAATCCAAAGGGCCCCGAGGAGTGGGTGCTGGAGGGTCCTGTGGCTCAGGCACCCTAGAATGGCAGCCACAGCTTCAGGATGCGTGTCCACCTCCGTGGCGGCCTGGGTGTGAAGTCAGGACAACAGCGCGGCCTTGACCGGCCCTCTGCCCAGCTCCCAGCCCTGCACCCACGCACCCAGCCCAGGCTCAGTGACCTTCGCTCTGCGTGCCGCATGTGGCCCGCGTGGCTCTCCACCGTGAACAGCTCCCAGTGTCTGCGAATGGCCGCCTGCCCCCTCTGCCTCGACGAGGACGCAGAGGGCGGGCGGGGCCTAAGGCTCTGGAAAGCAGGACTGTCCTCGGCCTCAGACCGGCTGCAGGACCAGCCCTGCGGCTTCTCACTTTCAAAGTGAACCAGGGGAACTGCCTCCCTGGCGAGCCCACTGCTGTTCCAGGTTCCAGACGGCGCCAAAGCTGGAAGCGTCACGTGGACGTGCACATCGTTGCGTATGTGAAAACTGACTACCACTTGCGTGTCTTTCAAGTTTTACTCAAACCCACAGCTAACTGGCAGCAGTGAGGGGGAGGGGCTCCTGCCGGGGCGGGGGCCTCTGGGCCTCTGAGGGGCCTCACAGTGGGTCATGTGGTCGCACAGGGTTCCTGCCTCAGCAGGACAGCTCCCTCCAGGCAGGCACTTTGTCCAACCCCAAACCACACCAGAGCCCCACCCCACGGGCTGCATGTAGTCGACTGTTGTGTTGTTTGAAAATGTCTCAAGGGCTGACGGATTTTTATTTTTTCCTCTCTCCTAAGATTTGTGTTCTGCTTTAGGGCATCCAGAGAAAATCACTGTGAAAGCAGCAAAGGCCTGGCCCGTCTGGCTGCCCTCCCCTCGCCACCACACCCCTCTTCCCAGCCCCGCCATTAAAGGGGCGGGACCACAGGCCCGCACAGCACAGCCCCGACGCCGAGGGCAGCCAGGGAACAAGGCGGCGGAAGCCTCGGCCGCAGCCCTGGGCTGGTTTTGGCACTGACAGCAGAGTCGTGCCGAGGGCTCAGGCCATTCCAGTTTGGGGCCAAGAAGGGCAGTGAGTCACCCCCCGCCCCACCCCCAGACAGACAGTGCTGAACAAGTGCAGCTGGATCCTGGGGAGGTCACAGCCCCAAACAGGTAAGCAAGTGGCAACCGCAGCACGGCCCTGCTGCCTGCATGCTGAGGGCCCGCTTGAATTTTCACTGGTTGAAAGAAGAAAACCAAAACAATAACAGTATTTATGACACATGGAATTTATTTCACAGTTTTATTGGAACACAGCATACCCACTGCTCTCGAGTCCAGGCTGCCTTCCTACAGAGAGCAGGTCTGTGATGTCACGGCAGACCCCGCCGGGCTCGGAAGGTGAAGTGGTCACTAGCTGTGCCCTCAGAGGAAGCCTGCGGGCCCCTGCCCTGGGCAGCCGACACTCGACCCTTTGTGATGAAATGCTGGTGCCGTTTGTTCTTCAGCTCAGGGAGGGTTCCACAGCTGCGTCGGAGGCAGGGCGTGCGCTGTGTCCACCTCCACGTAACGCCTAACTGAGCTCACAGCATTGTTTTCAGAACTTGCAAGGAGACAACAAAATAACAGCACCCCTCCCCGTTACCGACAGGGGAAGGCAGCCAGGCTCTGGGGCAGGAATGCGGGCACGGAGAGCCCCCGCCCCCAACGGGCCAGCATCAGTGTCAGAGACGAGCTCCAGCACAGCCAGGGCAGCGGGGCCGAAGACGCCCTGCGCTCCTGCCAACAGCTCTCTGCGGCCGCCTCCAGGCTCCAGGGGGTCTTGCCGGACTGGTGTGACCCAGCTGAGGGGAGCCACCAGGGCACATCCATCAGGATGCGAGAGACCCCGGCCTGCCTGCTGAACGCCTTCCTCTGGTCCAGCAGGAGCATCACAAGGTCCCCTCCCCTCATGTCCTTCCCCAGGGACCGAAATGAAGGCCAGGGGAGAGGGAGACGGAAGTCTGGCAGCGGGAGCGTTTGGGGTGAAGTCCCATCGCCTGGTGTTTGCGGGTCAGGGAGCTGGAACTTGTGCTCCTAGGTGAAGGCGGGAGAGGGGAGAGGCGGGGTCGGGGCCTGTGGGACCAGCGAGTGCCTGTGTGTGGAGAAGAGCTGTGGGAACGACTTCTTGGTGTCACAGGAAACAGGCAGGTTTCTGTGCTTTGGGCTCCAGTCATCAATTCAGTTTGGCAGAAGGCGCCTCGGGAGGAAGCAGAGCCCGCAACACCAACCTTGGACTCCGAGCCTCCAGGCCCGCGTGCACGCGGCTGCTGTGGCGCACTCCACCTGGGGCTTCGCCAGGGCGGCAGAAACCCAGCACTGCATGGGCGGCGCCCTGTGCCGACGCTGACCCAGAGCGCAGCTGAGGGCGGGCCACGGTGACACAGGGCCCCTGAGTCCCCAGGGCTTTCACTCTGTTTCCACAGACAGACCAGTCTCCACTGATTTAATGGCAGGTAGGAGAGAAAAGGGACGAGAATAATCCTCTAGGGGGAAAGTACTTGGGTGCCACACACCTCCACGCCGAGAGGGTCTAGGGTTTACACATCCCCAGGTGACTGACAAGGAGGGGGCGAGGCCAAGAGCTCTGGGCTCGCCTAACAGACAGGGTGCGGCCCTGTTCCAGAGGCCTGTGGCATGCGAGGTGTGGGTGCTGGGCGGTGCTCCTCCTCAGGACAAGCGGGCGCTGCACAGCCCTGCAGGCTGAGGGCGCTCCTGGGCAGCACCCTCTGGGTGGGCAGGCTCGTCTCCCTTTCCCTGCCCAGGGCCCTCCTGGGCTGGACCCTGAGGCCCGGCCTGCGACCCCTGCCTGCACACCCACTGGGGACACACGGAGAGCGTTACGCCCCCAGGGGTTTGGGCTGAGGGGCTGGGTCCCTGGGCACACCCAACGCGCATGCACTTTCCGCACACGCATGTGCGAGTCTCTGGGTAAGCCCAGCATGCATGTGCGTGCTTTCTGAATTCCTGGGTGAACCCAGTGTGACTGCATGAACCCAGCAGGCAGTGCCAGGCCTGTGGGCGCCCCCCAGCCGCTGCTGACGCTCCCCAATGTCTGAGGAGTTCCTCTGTGTCCAGCCCCACAGCACGCTGCCTCACAGGGGCCCGGGGGGTGCCTGCATCTCCACGCTCCCCTCCTCCCCACGAGGGGCCTCTCACAGACTCCAAACAGCAAAAAGCGCATCAGTGGGCATCTTCACAAATCATTCTCACAGCAGCACTTCTCTTTTGTTTCCAGATAGAAATGGGGTAGTGAAAGAAAAATCAACACTGTTTTGGACATGCACAGTATGCACCATTTTCACATCTGGCTAAAAACTGGGCAGTGAGATAGCATTCCGTGTGTTTCGATGATGACCTCAATGTATACTACACTCCTAGCTTCCGTTAGAGACTGGCCTGTCCACTAGAGGGATGGACAAGCGAGGGGCCACTGGGCCAGCAAGGAAGGGCAGGCGCAGGCTGTGCGACGGCGGAGTCGGGACCTGGGAGGCAGGGTGCGCTGCAGCGCGTAGACGTGCAGTGTTAGAAGTGAGCAGACTTCCTCTTACGCCCAAAAACAGCGGAGAAAGGGTGATGGTGCAGCTACCGGTGATGCTGGGGACGGGGGTGCGGTCATGCAAAGAGGCTCCCGGGTGCTGGGTGCAGCCCAGCCCTGGCCGCAGAGCCGCCCATCTGTGCGGGGCGCCCCCGCTGGGGCTCGGCCGAGTTTGAGTGTGTGGGTGCTCCCGACTCCCCATCAGTTCAAGAGGGCCTCGGTGGGGCACCGTGTGCTGTGTCCGCAGACGGAGCTCCCCTCCTGCAGCTGCCTGTCAGCATCCTGCAGGGGACCCTGGCCGGTCCGGCAGCCCGGGGTCCTCCTGGGGTCTGCATCTGAAGACAGCACACAGAGGTTAGGGATGACTGAGAGAAGCGATTCTCCTCGACAGCTCTCACCTCTGCGCGCTCTCATTCTCCTAGGTCAGCTTTCTCGCTCGCCGAGTGTGCTTGTCGACGGTCAGGGTCGTTCGGTCCACGGCGGCGGTGATGCCGTCCAAGACCTCGTCCTGTCTCTCCAGCTCCGCCTCGGCCTCCAAGGCAAGACCCTTCAGCCTCCCCAGGATCTGGGGAGGAGCACAAGGACAGGAGGGGCTGACGTTCTGTAACCTCACAGAAACAGACGATATTTATCACCACCATCTTTATAACACTTAAGGAATTTTGTGAGTCAGTGGGGATGATGTACCCCCATGGTGGAGCCCAGAGCCAGAGCCTGGGTTTGGGTCTGGGCTGTGCCGCTGACTAGGGAGCTGGGAGAGGATGTGTTTGTTCCTGGCCTTGCTCCAGGCCTCGGGCAGCCATCTGACCACGAGTCCCTGGGGCACTGCTCCTCGAACCCACGGTGTGCCCTGTCACCGGCGCCCTGCTGCGCCCGCAAGGAACCCCAGCCACAGCACTGGGCCAGCACCTGGGATCCAAGTTCAGCTCCTGCCCAGTCATTGCGTTCACTACCTGTCTGCACCCAAGGGCCCTCACTGGCGTGCTGAGCAAGCTGGGCGGCGTCCGCCAAGCAAAAGGTCACCGGCTGCATTCCTGGTCAGGGCACAGGCCTGGGTTGGGGGCCAGGTCCCCAGTTGGGTCGCGTACGAGAGGCAACCAATCGGTGTTTCTCTCTCGCATTGATGTTTCTCTCCGTCTTTTTCTCCCTCCCTTTCCCTCTCTTTAAAAAATAAAATAAAATCTTTTTTTAAAAAGGCAATATTTAGAAAGAAAAAGCAAAATCCTTTTCTCATATATTTAAAATTATTTCACATACAAATACAAAAGGCAGAACAGAATGGGGCACAAATAACTCAAGTCCCATAGCACAGCCCCCCTCTCTAAACTGCCCCCGCCCCGCCCCCGCGAGGAACTGAGAAGCAAGGGGACTGACCAGGAAACACAGGGCCCGCAGCTCAGGAGGCCGAGAAGGGCCAGGGAGAGGACTCGCGGAGGGCAGAGAAACGCCACACACCACAGCCCTGCCCCAGGGGAGGCTACCCGGCTGGGCTGCGGCCCCGCCCCCACTCGTGACTCAGTCGTCCTCACACGGTCTCATAAACCAGCAAGAGCAGCTGTTTATGACAAGTCTACCGAGACAAGCTGCATTGTGAAATGTACTTTAACTACATTCTTACTGAGCCTGGGTTGAAAAATTTAATATCCTCAAGATGACAAAAAGAATGATTTCAAGAGAAACTGTAATGACCACAACTACTTGCTGTAAATGTTAATGCCTCTTTTAGGGAAACTCAGAATCCCTGGTTATGCTGAGAGGCAGAACACAGAATACGCCTCCGCACGAGGGGCCGTGGAGCCTTACTTGTGCCGGGGTCAGCCTGCCTTGTCACACAGGGATGACCGTCCGCAGGGAACAGCCTGGATGACCCCCCCAGAGGACCCCAAGATCAATATATTGATAACACGTCATGCCCCACAATGACATCGGTCCCAGGTCCCACACCAGGTGGTCCGAGACAATGCTGCCCCCGGGAGAGCAGAGTGGACCACCCCACGTGGTGTTGAGGGGGGGGGACAGCACCCATCTGGTCCTGGGGCGGCCCTGTGCTGAGGACGAGAAGAGATGCCTGACTGCCGTGGGGGTTGCTTCGTCCAGGTAACGAGAGACAGGACTGAGGCGGCACGAGGGCCGGGGTCCTGCGACCGGCCGCCTCCCCAGGACTGAGGAGGCTGCAGCGAGGTCACAGGCGTGGACGGGCTGTGAGCGCTGAGGTGCGTGCGTGCTCCTCCGTGGGGTGCGCGTGCCACCCCGCCTGCGGAGGGGCAGGGATGGGCAGAGCGGAGGGGGCCGTCTCCCCACGGCCACACGCTGGCTGGTGGCAGAGGCAGGACCTCGCCCACATCTCTCCAGAAACCGCACCATCAGCGGACCTTCGTCCGGAGGCCAGGGAGTCGCGACCCCAGTGCCCGGGTTCGGGCACCACCTCTCCGCACCTCTGGGAGCTGGTGGAAACTCCATCAGCTGAATCACTTGCAAAACTGGACGATGCTCTGGAAAGTACACCGCGGGGTCAGCGGCTCCGGAGGGCTGGCCGGTGACCTAATGCAGGAGGTCCGTTCCATTTCTCATTCGCATGATCTCACAGGGCTGAGGCCCACACAGCGTGCGAAGGGAACACTGCTCGCCCCCATGCCAGGCAGGTCCTGCCTGCCACTTTCCCCTGGACGGCGGCTCCCTCCTGACTCACCGCACCCTTAGTGCGGCAACAAGGCGCTCTGCCAGGAACTTGCACAAAATGTCCCCTGGAAGACTGGCCTGAGCTGCAGCCTGCACCCGAGCGGAGGCCCCGGGGCCCTCTCCTGCCCTGGGCGCCGGGCTGCACGGCTCTCTGCACCATCAGGTCGCTGTCCGTCACGTCGGAATGCGGTCGGGCTCATTTCCAACTGCACTGTCCTTCAGCAGCACCGGCCCAGGCTGTCAACAGCCACCCTGGGGCCGTGCGGGGGGCAGACGCGGCCCTCAGCAGGCCGCCGCCATTTCCTCCCACGCAGGCCAGGACATGGAGCTTAGAGGAGGGCCCCCGACGTCCAAATCGGGACCAGGGTCACGATCCCGGGGGGAACCTTCCCTCGGCTCCTTCCACACCCACACCCCGAAGTTACAGTGGGGTCCGAGAGTGCACACACACGTGTTCCCTGCGTCCTCACGCCCCAGCCACCCTAAATGCGGGGCCTCTGTCAGCCTTCAAACCCACTCTGCTGCCCACGCCCGGCTGAGGCTGCCCGCTGACCTGTCTGTCTCCTACGCTCCTGGGGTGCAGCTCCCGGGGTGGCCCTGACATGATCATCACAGATACCAGGTGTCACGGTGCAGTAACTCAGAGGTCACAATACCAGGACACTGCGAGAAATTGAAAACATCCCTTAAAAACCAGCAAAAGGGCCACCGCCAGATGGGCAGGCCATTCCCACACCACAGGAGGTGGGGACCGGGGCTGTGCCGCTCACAGAGCCCTCGGCAATGGCAGCAAGGGGTCCGGTGTGAGGAAAGCCACACTTGCAATGTTAAATTTCCTAATACATTTTAAAAACTAAAATGTGGTACGTATAATTAATTTTAATAATATATTTTATTTAACCCAATCAACTCCAAATAGTATTTTAACATGAAATTAACAGAAACAATTATTGAGATATTTTATATTTGTTTTTTCCTATGAAGTCCTAGCAAGCTGGGGTGAATGCTACATCAATCACATCTCAACATGGATCAGCTGTTTTCAAGTGCTCAGTGGCTGGTGGCTACTGAGCCACATAGCAGAGGACCACACTGCCATATGACCGCCTGCCTGCCTGCCCACCAAGCACTCCCTATTCCGTGACGGTCCCTGTGCGTCCCTACATGTCCCTCGGCCAGCCACCTGCTGCAGTGAGGTGAGTGGACCTCCTCTCCCCCAGCCCACAATTAAACAGTGCCAAAAGCGAGAACAGCTACACCCCTGCGCCTGTGGTCAGTCAGCACAGCAACAGCAGGCACACCCCACTTCCTGCGTGAGCAACACCAGCTGACATGCCTACAGAAGCTGAGCACTGTACTGATGCCCAGTAACACGAGGGCTGGCTCTCCTGGATGCTTCGAGCTGAAAAAGTCTCCTGGAGGATGGCCTTGACAGTAGCACTCACTCTGTGCAACCTCCTGAGACTCCTGGCTGCTCTGCCGAAAGTGTACGTGAAATTAATTCTGCAAAAACACCAGAGAGACCTTTGCAGCTACTTAGTGCACAAGGGCAATTCCTGAGTAAACCTCCAAACTACTGGTCCGCGCCTTTTTCCTTTAAGACAGGGATTGAAGTAATTTAATGGCATTGCGTGCATTCCATACAACATGGATGGAAAGAATGGAGAATCGGAAGACTGGCCAAACCTTAGACACAGTTGTTATTTCTGTGGCCCAGGATGACAAGCTGTCTAGTCATCCCCACAGGACGCTGCCAGCCTCTGAAATGTCAGTCGGCCTGTGCGAGGGGCCCTCACCGGGCTCTGAGTCAAGGGCAAGCTCAAAGCAGACTCTCTTCTGGGTGTCGCACAAACTCCAAAGATTTCTTTCCAGTCATGTGCGTAACTACGTAGAATTACCTGGTTAAAACTGCACCGAGTATTCTAAGAAGATAACTTTATAAACTCCAAAGAAATACACAGTGCACTCAGCACAAGCAAGATGGGAAAGCACCTGCCCCCTGCCCAGGCCCGGGGGGAGGGCCCCCGGCAGATGCCGCGCTCACCCACCTCCCCGACTGGGGAGGGGCAGCCGCACACCCAGGCAGGAAGTGAGGGGCACCCGAGGTGCCCGGGTCGGAGCGCCCCGTGTGCTGTCCTCTCCAGAAGGGGAAGAGCCTTGACCTGCGTCGCACACCCGGGCGCCTCTGTCCCCCCATCACCACGCAGCTCGGGAGAGCAGCACGCACGTGGGCATGGAGACATTTCTGTCTTCCAACTACCTCCCTCTTGTTTATAAAAACAGAAAATAAGTTATGGAAAAATAGCTCATCCAGTAGAGCAGGTCCACTTACCAAAGCAGACATGTTTAAACGTTTGTGCCTCCCCCGAGCCACCGGCTGAGCTCTGCAGCAAACCGGGCCTCCAGGGGGCCCTGAGCGGCTGTCACCGCAGCAAGGGAGGGACGGGGGACGCAGACATATGGGCCCTGGTGTTTCCAAAACGTCTCCAACACTCTAGCTGTTGTCTCAACTTACAGTCAGAAAAGAGAAAACGTTTCGCTCTACCTCGTGAGGAAATCTCCAGGATTCAGAGTATTACTATATTAGTATTAAGCACTTAAAGTGAGTTTAGTATAAGCTAGTTTGTCTGCCCTCATCTTGTTATTAAGCTGACTCATTGCAAAACTGTGAATTTTCTTGCAGTGAGAAATTAGCAACCATTTAAGAACAGAGCTGGGATAAATCAAGCTGTCTGCAACTTCCAACTCCCAACAGCCTTACCGGCTGGGGCCATTAATACACGACAGGGAAGGCAAAGAGGGGAAAAATGGGCTTCCAGCACCACCGAAGCCCTGGAGGCTGCAAAGAACATTCCAGGCTACAATCTGTCACATCCAGCACTCAGA